CCCTCTGTCCATATGAAGGGGACTAATATATTTGTTAAGTATTGAAAGCAAGTCTTTGGAGAAAGACAACCCGAGGTCTCATCCAGCCTGAGATATATTTACGATGTGTCATTCACTTGCCCTTAGTTCCCTAAGTTGTAAATGGGAATACTGTATTCATAGGTTTATGGGTTTTGTTTTGTTTTTGTTTTTTGGTTCTTTGAGAAAGAGTCTCAGTATGTAGTTGAGACTGACCTGCAACTCACTGTGTAGCCCAGGCTGGTCTCGAACTCACAGCAATCCTCCTGCCTCAGCCTCCGGAGTGCTGGGATTACAGGCAAGCGCCACCACGCCTGGCCTGCAGGCCTTGGTCTTGCTGAGACCTCCAAGGGCCGGTGTGTGACTTGAAGCCATCAGGGTGCCCAGCACCGTGCTGGGAGGGTGCTTCTTCCTCCCTGGTCTCCACAGGAGGAGAACAAGGCAGGCCACAGCCACGGCTCAGTGCCCTACCTGTAGCAAGCATGCGTGGCCCAGCTCCTAGGTGAGGGGTTGTGGAGCATGCTGGAGAGCGGGCCGAGGCTTGGTGGCAGGGCACACTGCAGAGGCCAAGCAGGGTATGAGTGGCAGGCACAGTAGCAAGGACAAAGGTGCACGCAGTGGCGGGCTGGCAGGGGTGCAGCAACCTAGGGTAGAGGAGTGATCACAAGAGGAAAGGTCTTGTCCCTCAGAGCATGGCTGGGGCAATGTCCTTCCTTCGGGTCCTCCTGCTTCCACCCAAAGGGCGGTGTGGCCGTCCTGTCCCTGGGATTTTTTCCACTGTAGTCCTCATTAATCCTCGGAGTTTTCTATTGCTTTTGGTATGCCTTTGCTTAGTTGTATATGAAGCTGATCATTGGGGACACAGAAAAAGCCACGCAGCAAAAGAAGGTGGCAGCAGTGCACTTGAGCAGCCCTAGGTCCCGAGCAGCCCTTGCCACACATGCGCTTGACAGTGGTGACAGGCCGCAAAACCTTCCCTTGTCTGTGCCTGGATGATCCTGATCCCATAGAGGCAGACAGCCTAGGCTAGAAGGGAGCTGGGGCGGCCTCACAGGCCTCCAGGATCAACTTTTGCTACCAGCTCTGCCACTGCCGTGCCCGCCCTTCTTCCTGTGGCCCTTCCAGGCCTGTTCCCATGCCTGTGCCTGCTCCATCCCTCTCATGCCTTTAGGAGGGGCGGGTGGCAGGAGCTAGAGAGCTGGCTGAGTAGCGAGTGACTGTTAGGCCAAGGCTAGAGGGTGTCATACGGTGAATCACACAGTTGGGCTGTGTGAGACACATGGGGGACAGGGTGGGGGAATCCCCGAATGCCGCCCTGGACCTCCGTCACTCTCCTAGCAAGTGCCCAGACATCTTGCTGGCTTGGTGCCATGGTGGGCTGTGAGGGTGGGTGAGAGCAGCCTGGCGGGAGAGAGTGCTCCTTCCCCAGGTGTGTTTGCACTGTGACACCACAGACCTGAAGGAGCCAGGGACGCCTGGGGGTGGGGCAGCTGGGGCCTGAGGTCCTGAGCTTGCACGCCCGCTCCCACACGGGGAGCCAGGGAGGAGCCGCACAGCAGTCTGGGAGGCAGCTGGAGCGCCCAGCTAGACTGGCCCGTGGCCAAGAGCTGCAGGTGCGGAGCTGAGGGCCTAGACGCTGAAAAGCCAAGCAAGTAGCGCCCCCAGGACAGCCACTAACGCAGGACTGTCTCTCCTCCCACAGACTCCGATCCACCAGAATCTCAAGGAGCTGCTGGCCGTAAGGGCCGAGCTGCAGAAGCGGGTGGAGGACCTACAGCGGGAGGTGGCCACGCGCGTCGTGTCCTCATCCTCTGAGCGGGGCTCCTCGCCATCGCACTCGGCCACTCCTGTCCATACTTCAGTCTGATAGGACAGCTGCCGTCTTGGGCCACCCCACTACTCCATGTCTCCCTGGTGGCCCGGGACTTGGCTATGGCTTCAGATGTCTCCTGACAGGAGGCCCAGGGACCGCCTGTGTGGCAAGTGCTCTCTGTCTCTGAATGGCCTGTTACCCCGTCAGCGGCCATGCCCCATGACCCGCCCTCCTCCTCTGGGGCATCTCGTGCCATTGCCGTCCAAGGTCACCCTCTGTCACAAACAAACCTTGCCAGCTGCAGGGCTCCTTCAGTGCTTTGCCACAACTTGAAGACTGATCTTCAGTGAAGTGTTCAGGAGAAACAGCCCATCGCCATGCAGTCTCCAGTTCCCTTCACGCAAGGGTTCCACTGTGTACATACAAGGTATTTTTTAAAGAGAGAAACAGGCCTTTATTTTCCTATGTCCTTTTTTATGTTTAGAATAGTCACCAGCAGAGGTGTCTGTTCCCTGTTCTGTGAGAGGAAGTTTTTCCGCTCGCCCTGATGACCTCTGGTAAGCCTGAAGTGAGAATTAGGACACCATCACCTCTGTGACAGTGTATCACCATCCTCAGCCTAGCTCCTGAGGTGGCCCTGTGCAATGGCAGGCGTGCTCGGGGCGGGCCCTGCGGCAGGTAAACTGAGGACTGCAGCTTTGTGCAGGTGTCTGTCCCGTGCCTGGGCAGCACGGTGTCTCTCGTTCATCACAGCCCCCTCACCTCCGTTTACCCGCATGGCCGCCTGTCCCTGTCTCTCAGCAGCTGCGGGCCATGGCGGTGGGAGAGCCCAGCTTGCTCACCGCCTCCAGGCCCTGGCATCTTGGCCCCGCCGTTCTAGGCTCTGGCTTCTGCACTGCCATGGTCCCACGAGACTGAATTCATGTGCACACTGGGCCCATCTCTGCAGGTCACCGGAACGCCACCAAGCACAGGAGAGGTCAGCTGCCTGAGAAGCTCGCAGGGTCCCTGGGCGCCACACAAAGTCCTACGTGTTAGTTTTGAAAATAGATTGTTCAGAAAAGTTTTCTAAGGTCAATTACACAGAGAATAGATATTTCAACTTGGAAACTTCCGATTCTTACAGACGATTCCCCTTCTATAAACTATTTGAAGGATTTATTCAAGGCCGCTTGCTCATTTTTATCAAGTGAGGAGTTGTCTTGGAGCCACATGGGCTCCTGGCCCAGCCCGACGCTCACCAGCAGTGAACACACACTACTCGGTCCTCCAACTGCGCTGAGACCACTCTGTGTGGTGTGGACAGGGCCAAGGGTCGCTCCCTGCCAAGATCAGCCAGGCACCCGGCACCCTGGCACGGGTGGGGTCTGAAGCAGGTCCCAGAAACTCCCACTCGGTTTGAAAAAGCATAAGAGAGTGCTGCCCCTGGTGTGTTCCACACACAGAACTGTTTCCAGACCAACTGGAAGGCGAGTTTGTTATCTGAGCTCTTCACTCCTGTTTAAGTGTACTAGAATGTAAAACCTATACAGTTTGGGTTTTTAAAACTGGTACAATACTGTTTCCTCATCTGATGCACTGTCTTCTGCCTGTAATTAAAATGATGTTTGCTCCCTAGTCTTCTGCTTGTCGCTCTCAGAGTTTCCCATGGGCTTTCCCTCAGGGGAAATGGGAAAAGACAGGGTGACACGACCACAGCGCACATGTGCAGTGTCTGTGTGTGACTCCAGTTGCTACACCTTACATGCCATTTGTCACGAGTCCTGAGTGTCGTGGCTGGAAGGGGGAGAGCTGATTTGCAAACCCGAAAGGGCCCAGACTGTCACCTGTACGAAATGCCAGGGACCCTCTTCCTGTGACTTGCTGGAGTTAGCTCCCCAGGTCCCAGGCGGCACAGCTGACACATCCAGTGCCTGCTCCCCAGCGTGTCGACTCCATCCCAAACAGTGGCAGTGCAGCTGCCTGGAAGGACTGCCTGGCCAAGTGGCCCCCGGGGCTATGCCTGCCCCCCCAAAGGTGTCCCGTGTGGGCCCCTGCACAATGGGGTCATGAGCTGTCCCTGCAAGAACTGCAGCCTCCTAGGGACACCTCTGGCAGGAGATGAGCCGTGCCCAGAATCTGCTGCAGGAGGGGTGGGTGCCTGGGGACAGGAGGCACCGGCACGCCATGGAACACAAGGAGCCCTGTTTGGTTCCGTTTTGTTTAATGCAGACAGTGGACAGTTTACAGTTCACATGTGGACACGAGCACAGATGAGGATGGACAGGGGTCAGAGGACGGTCTCCAGCATGTCTTCCTTGCAGAGCTGGGCCTGCCCACACCCAAGGGTGCTTCCCTACCAGGCACCCTCAGCCTCTCATGCAGCCAAAGCTGCCAGGTACCCCCTCTGCTGGTGGCTGGCAGAGATGGGACCTTTCGGCTGGCCCTTCTAGTCTCTTCCCTCTCCTCCCACCTGGAACAGGCCCACACTGGCCAAGGAACCTTCAGGTAGACACAGTTAGGAGAGGAGCCCGCCAGGCTTGTGTCGGCCACAGCGCCCGAGCAAGTGTAAGGTGACAGCGGAAGAAGAGCCCCTGGGATGAGACTGCGAACAGGAGGCTGAGGGGTGGCCCGGGCCTGTCCAGGTGCCTGGAGCCAGTGCCCACGGGGCCAAGTGATGGGTTTTATGCAGAAGGGCTTTATGCAGAAGGCACCGAGGTTGCTAAAGGAAAAAAAAAGTGGGCTGCTTTTCAGTGCTACCCAGAAAAACGTTTTTGCGAAGAGCATTTATTTTACACACGGCTGCAGGCTCCCAAGGCCTCTGCCAGTGGGCAGGCCTCAGGAGAAGTGAGGCGGCCCCACCCCTGCTACCTAGGTGCCATCAGGCCCGAGCTGCAGAACCCTCCACACCAGGTCCAGGCTGGCACTGGCTGTCAGCGGGACACAAAGCTGACCACCCTGAGCCAGTCCTGCAAGCAGAGCTTCCGGCACTACTCAGCTCCTGGAAGACGGGTCTTCTCAGGCCACATGTCCCCTCCTCAAGGTGCCGCAGCCCCTCCAGACCCACAGTCTGGGATCTCAGTCCCCTAAAAGGACGGCAGTGCCCCGATGGCCTTCACCATGGGGGCTTTAAAACCACGAACACACACGCACACACACACACACGCACACGCACACACTAGGCATGCAGTACACAGCACGTGGGGGCAGTTTGGTTTTCATTGGTTTCCTTTAAAAAAAAAATTAGGGAGTTGCCTCATCCCAGCGCAGAGGATGGCGGGGAACCACCCCACCCGGCCTGTGGCACAGGGTGGCAGTGAGCAGTGACACATCCTGAGTCCCCAAGCACTTCTTGACACCAAGCACTTCTTGACACTGGAAACTGATACTGGCACGTGTGGGCCTCCTTCAAAGCCAGCTCTGCTCCTGCCCAGGCCAGGTGGCCCCAGGCCAGCCCTGGAGGACAACTGCAGGCCTACACCTAGGCCTGCAACAGGAAACCTGGGACTGGGAAGAAAGCCCACAAGGAACCCCGCATCCCCAGGCTGAGGCCCAGGCCGGGCTGGCTGCAACCTCAGCCACAGATCTGAGGCTGGTGCTGGCCGCCTGCCGGGCCGGGCCAGGCCAGCAGAGTCTCTTCACGGAAGTGCGCGAGGCGGGCGCGGGAACCACACTCACGGACACACAAAGCTTGTCTGAAGGTCAGAGCGACAGGAAGCCAATGACACAGGGGCGCACGCAGCGGCTGGGGGGCCGTGGGGGTCAGCGATCACAAGCGGTGGCGCCCTCCGCACTGTTGCTGCAAGGGAGCCGGGCTCAGATGCGGGGCGCGTCTGGGTTGGGCGGCGGCGACTCCGCGGACTGTGTCTGCAGTGCCGAGTACTTGACTGTGGGGAGAGCACAGCCGTGAGTGCTGGAGGCTGAACCCTGGCTCCTAGTGCTTTTATCTGGGGGCCCAATGTTCTCGAGGGCTTTTACAGATTCTAGATAGTCGTCCTCTAGCTGACGGCAGCTGGCAAAATGCTCTTCCAATTCTGGTGGCCGTCTATTCACTCTGTTGAGTGTGTCTGCAGTGCCGAGTACTTGACTGTGGGGAGAGCACAGCCGTGAGTGCTGGAGGCTGAACCCTGGCTCCTAGTGCTTTTATCTGGGGGCCCAATGTTCTCGAGGGCTTTTACAGATTCTAGATAGTCGTCCTCTAGCTGACGGCAGCTGGCAAAATGCTCTTCCAATTCTGGTGGCCGTCTATTCACTCTGTTGAGTGTCTCCTTTGCTGTACAGAAGCGTTTTAATTTGGATTTTTGGGGGGCGGGTACCGGGGATTGAACTCAGGCCCTTGCACTTGCCAGGCAGGTGGCAGAACCACTGAACCAAATCCCCAGCCCCAAGAAGCGTTTTAATTTGATTTGATCCCGTTTGCTGATTCTTAGTATTATTTTTTGTACAACCAGGGGCTCTGTTCCTAAATCCCTCGCCTACACCTACATCTCCCAACGTTCTGCCTATTTTAGCGGCCAGAAGACCGTATGTGAGATGGAGTTGTCTGACGCATTGCGGTTTGAGTGCACATAGACCCGGATCTAGCCCTACTGTCCCGCGAGGACCGCGGCAGCCCCAGATGGCTCAGTGTGCCTGGGGCTTCGATTCTGCTCTGCTGAGCCGCATGACTTCCGGTCCGGGATGGGAAGTAGGGGTGATGGAGGTGTGACGGAGATGTGAACTACCATGCAGCACTGAGACAACCAACGGTAAGCGTGCAGTGTTAACGGCTGTGATGGCGAACACGACCACGTTGGACACGGAGCCGCTTGAGCCCATGTGCGGCAGGGCGGCAGGACCACCAGCTGACTGTTCTGAGTGCACCGAGCCCCTTCGAAATGGTTGCTGCCTGTGACTCTGGACCCTGTGGGTGCCACCCTGGAGCTGCTCTGCCTGTACCCCCTTCCTGTTGTCTGTAACAGTCTCCCTTCTGCTTTCTTGTTATCTTTTTTACATTGTACATATTGGGGAGAGTATGCACTACTGATCTTTCTGAGTCTGGCTTATTTTTCCCAACATGACAATCTCCAGATCCATCCATTTTCCTACACATGACAAGATTCATTCTTCTTCATGGCTGAGTAGTATTCCATGGCATGTCTAAACCAGTTTCTTCATCCCTGGCCAACAGTGCTGGGCACCTGTTGGTTCTATATCTTGGCTATTATGAATTGTGTATAAATCTGCCAGAATAGCACCCATGCACCTGTACAGGCAGCATGCACTATGGAAAAACATGAGAATAAAACAAACCAGTGAGGGAAGAAAAAGGGTGAGAGGCCGAGGCGGGAGGTGTTTGTGGCATTCTGTCTGAAGGCACTCGGGATGGGCCCACTGCGGCTACAAAGGCAGAGGCCCAGCCACACTAGAGCCCTGAGTTCCCTCCAGGCCTCCCCAGGGTCCCCAAACTGGGGGTGCCCGGTTCCTCACCTTGTGGCTCCTCGCTCACCACGGCCTCCAGGTTCTCCCCCTTCACGTAGTCTGCGTTCAGCCCCTCTGCAAGGGTGAGGGCAGAGTCAGTGGCCAGCACGGGTCCGGCAAAGCCTGCTACCCTGCCACCTGTCCCCAGGCCACTTGTTGTCCCTGATCATAGTCAAGCTGTCCTGGTGTTGCTCTGCCCAGGGGTCACACTGCCGTCACTGAAAGTAAGTGTCATGCATCACAAGGCCCTGTCACCCCACCCCTGTGCAGTAGCTGTGACATGTCAAGATGGTAGTGCCCTCAGGCAGACAGGAGAGGAGGGCACCTGTGACGCAGGCTGGGGAGGGACAGGGAGTGATAATGGAGGCAGGCAGGGAGGGGTGGATGGCGATGGAGTCACCATGGAAATGCCAACATCCTCTTGCCCAGGATGGCCTGGCTGGCAGCAACACACCGGGCCAAGTGGCGTCTCGTGGTGGCAGGGCCACCCCCTCCCCACGCTTGTGACAGCTGCTTGTGAGAGTCTGGCAGTGATCAGGGACGATGTGCCCTCGCTGAAGCACCCTCATCATGCCAGCCAGGACCAACACCCACTCGGGAACCCGGAGTGGCCCAGCCCTGCTGCTGCCCCAGGAGGGCCACGGGCTGTGTCTCAGACTCTGGGCAGAGCACGGGGGGCCTGGGGCAAGCTCGGGGTCGCGGTCACAGGCAGGGTGA